TTTTTGGCACTTCTGTTTTCTTAGCTTGAATCAGCGTCCTCTTGTTCGTGAAGTTGTTGGTTTCAGGAATTCCTCTGTGTCAATTTGGTATATTCCTGTTAGTATTTTGTAAGTGGTGATCATATCACCTTTTTCTTCTATCTTCTAGTTTTGGAATGTTTAACGCCTCTAGTCTCTCCTCGTAACTTTTGTTTTTCAGCTCCGGAAGCCATTTTGTAGCATGCCGTTGCACTTTTTCCAGTTTATGTATATGCTTTTTGAGAGTTGGGCACCACACAACTGCTGCATATTCTAATTATGGTCTCACAAAAGTCATGAACAGTTTCTTTAGTATTTTACCATCCATATAATTAAAAGTAAGTCTGAAGATGGAAAGCTACGCATGCACTCCTCTCACAATGTTCTTTATGTGTTCCTCTGGCGACACCTTACTATCCAAAACCACCTCTAGGTCTCTTTCTTTATTAGAGTTCTGTAATTCCTTTCCACATAATTTGTAAGTTTTGTGGGGGTCTATTTCTCCGATTCCATATTCTACGATTATTGTCATTGTTCTATAGATCTTCAACCCATTTGGCTTTAATAATTTGTTCTAGTGTTTTGACTACCACACTTGTTAATGACACGGCTCTATAATTTAGAGGTTCCTCTCCTCACGACAACCATTTTTATAAATTGGTACTATGTTTGTTTTTATCCATATATCTGCTAAGATTCCTGTGCCCAAGAATGTCTGGAATTCCTGTGTGTGCGTGTGTTCTCACCTAGTTGTACTCACTATTTGTGCTTGCGGGGGTTGAGCTTCAGCTCTTTCGTCCCGCCTCTCAGCCGTCAATCTACTGGTGTACAGATTCGTGAGCTTCTCGAGCTCTATCAGATCTACATTTAAAACTGTGTATAGAGTCAGCCTCCACCACATCAGTTCCTAGTGCATTCCATTTACTAACTACTCTGACACTGAAAAAGTTCTTTCTAATGTCTCTGTGGCTCATTTGGGTACTCAGCTTCCGCCTGTGCCCCTGTGTACTCACCTAATGTGTGTGTGTGTGCGCGCACGCGCTTTGGGGGCGAGGGGGGAGATGTTGGCAGCTCTGATGGCAGGAGAGAACAAAAAAGTGTTGATACGCAGGAAACCATGCCAACACCATCTGCTCACCAGCTACCCCAAACTATTATTATGTAAGAAAAAAGTCCACTACGGGCTCACCATAGCCCGTGCTACTTGGAACTTTTTGTTCCAAGGAGCGAATCTTAAACAACAACATTATTATGTAATAAATAGGAACACACACACACATACACGAACAGTAAGCAAGAGGATTTACCTATGGCAGGAAGAGGTGCTGGCGAATTCCATTCACAGCTCGCCCCTCTCTTTGCTTGGTTCCCATGGTAATTCCATGTCGTTTCATCTACCTCTAAGCCACTCCCCAACATTCATTTATCAGCCTAGTAGTAGTCTATCATAGCCAAGAAGTCATTACAAGCACTGCTCACATTCTCAGTACTGCCCCTGATATTTGAACCATCTGATGTTATAGATTAGACAGCAAATCACAAAGTAGAAAAAATCGATGTTCTTGCCGTAGCAACCAGGGGCCCCCCAGGGGTGGGAAGTAAGGGGCAAAGAGGAAGGTAAGAGGGTTGGCACAAGCAAGCATTTCCGGGCACAGCGTTTGTGGTACAGAGGGTTGGTTTGTGAAGTCCCGCCAGGAGCTTACTGGGGTGTGGGGGAGTTGGGAGGGGAGGGACTCTTTGTTTCATTGTTAGTGTATTTTAATTTCTGCTTTTCTACTCCATATTTTGCTTTTGCGAGCGAAACATTTTAGGAATGACGTGGGATGGGAGGATACGTTGCTTGTTCTGCTGGACATAGTATACTGACGTCACGTATTAAAGTATCTGGCTTTAATGCGTTAAATGGCTTGATAATAAGTTAAATCTCTACTTTTATTAAAATATAAACTCATGGATTAAGAGCAGGGAGATAATGTCTTTCGCACAGAAGCGATCAAACAAAACCAGAATGAAGTTGTATACACGGACTTTGCAAAGATATTTAATTAATAAATGTGTCCTCAGCTCATTAAATTTTAAGGTCCTGTGACAAATCCTTCGCGTACGAACTAGACCAACACAACTAACCTCATTAGTCCCAGAAAGCCTCCAGATTGAAGTGTTTTAATTCCGCTTTCTTTTGTTTGTATTTACATATAAAATTTTTACATTATTGTAAAGCCACTAGTACACATAGCGTTTCGGCCAGATCGGCACTTAAGGCATCTTTGTTTGGAGGCTGCTGTTCATAGCGCCATAGACGTTCAATAGCGTGAGAAGGGGCTGTTGAGTGGTTGCCACCCCGGGAAGCATCCCTATCACCTATGAAACAACCCTGAGGGCAAAATCCTCATCAGGGAAATGATGTCAGCAGTCCTGCCCCGTGACCCTCCCTCTCCCAGGGTGTTCCGGAAGAGACCCCGAGGGCGAATGTTAAGCAGGGTAGCGAGACATGGGTTTCGCTCTCCTGTACTCACCTAGTTGTGCAGTAGTATCATCTAGGATCTGCTGATATTATTGGAAGACAGACAGAGACAGCAAGAAAGAGCAAGCGACCGGGACTGACCAGCACAGTTGACTTTCGTAGGCCAGGCAAATGGCAAACCTGTTCTCAGTTTGAATTATTAATTTTGGTATGAAAGTAAGAGCTTAGGCTTGTGCAGAAAGTTCAGAGGTACCTAAATGTGTCTTGGGAACCCAGTACAAGTGTTAAAGTGGTGCTTAACGTCTCAGATATATGGGATGCCTTCGTCATGCTTGCTCATGACCCTCGTCCTTAACCTATCACATAACAATTTCATCACGGTTCGAAATCACCAGGCGACCCCAGGGTGCGCACCGGGCGACCGCAGGCTGCACACACTGCTGCAAGCCTGCTGCGCGTCCTCTGTAAGGGCAGAGGACGCGTGTGTTTATTCGAGCAAATTTGTCAAATCTTCGAGACCATTGGAAGCTCCAAACGACGAAAACACATAAAAGATAAAATAAAGACACTGAAATTAACGCAATTGATATCATTATTGCTCTGCCACTACCATAACGTTTGGGCCCCTGCCATTATAAAAATATATTGTAGAATCTAGATTGAGAAACAATTATTCTTAGGGTTAAAATCATCGTGAAATACGGTTAAAGATTGTCCACAGGTTGCAGTAGAGTGTGATAAGTCCACCCCAAGGGCCCCACTAGCCAACAGGATGGCATTTACACAATCTCCTGGGACTTGCCAACCTGTCGCGTGCACTAAACCACGCGTGTACCACACTCTCCCTCCCCTGCATGTACACAGGTAATTCTTCATAAAGTTTACGTATTTAATCTTGAACTTCACCATACATACATACTTTAAACCTCACGAACGTATTTCTCCAAAAACTAAATGTTTACAAAACCTAGCGAACCATCGTCCAGTGTTAGGACCGTGAAGCTGGAATTTAACCTTTGGCTTCATGCATAAGGAATACAAGTGGGAGGAAAAGCTGCCGCGCACTGGAACATGACTGTGTAGCTTCAAGCTTTGGGATATGCATTGTCAGACATTTTATGATTCATCAAGACGGAAAAAGCAAGAACTGCCGGTTATGATTTAATGAAGCCTCCGTTAAATTATGCATCTGCAGTTCTCCCGTTGATTACAGAATCTCTTACACTGAATATATTCCAACGCATCCTCCTGAAATAATCAATTAAGTACTTATAGTAACTATTCAGTCGAAAGTACCAAGATGTAGTGATAGTCCACTAATAAACTGTTTTTAACTAATTATTTATTTTTCCGGTCTATAAAATTTATTTAAAGCCAAACTTAAATATTCCTAGGCCTAGTATAGCACAAATGTGCTATAATAATACAAATGTACTATTTAGTCTTAAGCGTGTATTAGGCTTAATACACGACTGCTTAATATGTACCAATAGACAGTTAGGAGAGGTAGTTAAGTGATGCATTTATGTTATGGTTACAAAAGTTTCCGGTTTATCGAAATTTAATAATAATAAACAAAAAAATCTACTTTCTGGTGGTCCATCCCTATATGTTAGTACGTTTGATCAAATAGCTACTATAGTAGCTTCATTTTAGGAGGCTGGGCTGATGTATTCAGCAAGTGTCTTAGATGACCCCTTGTTGCTCTCAAGGCTCGGACAATGACAACACAATAGATGTAGAGTTGTGTTATCTGCAAGTGTGTGTGTGGTGGTGGACGAGGCTAGGAGCTGCCCGCTCTCACACAACTCTGCTCCCGCTATTGTTATTGCCACTATACGAACTCTCATTACGGCTCTACGGATTTTCTCATGGATTCAGTCACGTTAGTATGATTACTGTCTATTGTTATTGTTATTATAACTATCACTACTTAAAACAGAGAATGTATAGTTACAGACCCATCTCATTAACTAGCATAGACGCTCGTTTGTATTTATGAGAACAGTAAAAAAAATAAAGAACAGCAATAGCTAGAAGCTTGCTTACGTCCAAAGCTTCGGGGAAAATGTAGCGCAAGATATGAGAAAACCGTGAGGGAGTGTTGTAGAGGCGAGGCGCTGTGTCTGGTAGCCTCCCCCACGCCAAGCCCAGCTCCCCCCCTACTGCTGCCCGCTCTCCTATGGAACCTTTAGTGTTTTAATAACAGATGGTCCACGTCTTCCCTCCCCACCGCCGAGGCTTCCTCTCGCCCTTCACCACGTCTCCAGCTCAACTTGAAGTAGAGCCATGCAAAAATAAGATATTCTATATTTAAAGTAGTGGTGCGACTGGCATTGGCTGGTAGTTGATGACGTCGGTGTCATGCAGACATGCCCTCAGGCTGCCATCCAGATGTACAATGAAGCATTTTTATTTTAGTTTGGTGTAATATTTTAAAGATTGTTTTCATGCAGCGAGGTGCACATATAGGTTAGTAATTATAAAACACCTTGTAAATAAGGGTAGACCATAAGGAAGGAGGAGAATTATTAGGGTTTAGTAAGGTTGGCGGACGGTTGTCTGAGCCAGGCATATTGGCTGAGCCGGCGAGCCACGCCCCCCTGCCGGCTGGTATATATACCAGAAAGCCGGCAGGTTCGCCACTCGCCGCTGAGTCAAGGAGAGGTTTGGACGGTACGTGAACACAGCTACAGTTTTCAACCTGAATATTTTTTGAGTCTTGTCCTTTTTAAGTGTTATTCTTGGACATTAGTGATACAGTGCTTAATTGTGGGGAAAAGTTTCCCAGTGTTTCCGTGACTTTGTGTTGGCTTTGTAGTAATTGAGCATTTCCTTGGTGTGCGGGGGAGCCGGTGGCTCCCGTATAGCTGAACACCGGTAACTTGAGTGTCGCTACAGGCACTCTACGAAAGTGAACTTTTCAATACTCGTGATGAGGTTTACTTTTCAGTACACGTGATTACTAATTGGCCTAGTGAACTTAAATTAGCAGTTTACCGTGTGATAGTCTTGTCGTTTTCACGACTTGATCGTAAAACCTGAAGTGCATCCTGTACAAACTTCCATTTTTTTTTCTTTAAAAAGCCTAACTCATATTCTACGGTTAACGGTAGTATATCTTTGTTGGTAAGACTCCTTGAGGGGCAGGATATTGTGCAGAATAAAGTACTGCTTGCTTTTTATGAGACTGGTTTAATCACTAATGGTAACTTTTTTTTTTTTTTTTCTTATTTTTAAGAGCCACATTTGTAGAATAAAGTAACGTTAAAACTAGCTGTGGCAGTATGACTTCCTGTCGACGCGACCGGCTGGTTACCTTCCTGGTTGGACTAGTCTAGCCAACTTAAGCTCTTCCAGTCATCGGCCACAGTCGTTTAAGTCCTCGGGGTATTTTGCGAATCTTGTTTCGCTCGCGCCCTAAAAAAAATCCTTTCCCACCTCCTTGCCTAAGAAACCTATGTACATTTTATTACGGATGCCGGTACAAGCAGACACTAAAAAATTTTATAAAGGAAACCTATTTAAACTTCAAAAAATCATTGTTCTTGTTACCGAACACTTGGATTCGCAGTGAAGGTCATCTAGCGTGCCTCATTATTTCGCCGTAAACTGGACCTGGAAAAGCTCTTTTGATGCCTTTGGCTTAAAGTGCTTCATCGCGAGATTTAACAAATTTGGCAGGGCCGTGAAATTAACTTCTAGTATAGGAAAGTCTGTAACTATACAGGCATTTTAATTACCTTTTTTTAATTTTTCTTCCACAGCCAGGAATCTTCAAAAACAAACATGGCTGACGCTGCAACCATCGCAAAGTTGGAGGAAGGCTTCAAGAAGCTTGAAGCCGCCACCGACTGCAAGTCTCTGCTGAAGAAGTATCTCTCAAAGAGCATCTTCGATAGTCTTAAGGCCAAGAAGACCGGCCTGGGCGCCACCCTCCTCGACGTAATCCAGTCCGGTAAGTAGTTTTCAATTATTTTCGGCGAAGTTAAAGCAAATATCTTTGCATTGTCTGTTCACTCCCAAAAGGGCCCTGGTTACCTTCCTGCGGGGGAGGACGCTCTCTTTGTTTACTTAACGGTAAATAGTTTAGCTAGTATAACTAAATTCATGAAGAGGGGTTGTGGTGGGGAAGGGGAGGCTAGGTGGCATCTCTAAACACACCAAGGGGAGCTCGGTCGGCCGAGCGGACAGCACGCTGGACTTGTGGTCCTGGGTTCGATCCCAGGCGCCGGCGAGAAACGATGGGCAGAGTTTCTTTCGCCCAATGCCCCTGTTACCTAGTAGTAAAATAGGTACCTGGGTGTTAGTCAGCTGTCAAGGGCTGCTTCCTGGGGGTGGAGGCCTGGTCGAAGACCGGGCCGCAGGGACACTAAAGCCCCGAAATCGTCTAAAGATAACCCCACCCCCTTTATTTCATATAATATATATAATATGACTGTGTCAGACCACGGAGGAAAATTGAAACGAATTTCCTCCAGTACTTTCGTATATTAATAAATCTTCAGAAAGATCTCCTTCTTAACATGTATTAATATACGAAAGTGCTTGAGGAAATTCCTGTTTCAATTTTCCTCCGTTGTCTGTCCTTTATATATACACACAAAGCTTGCGTTTTTAGATTCGGCTACTCTGAACAAAAGTTCAAAGTAGCACGGGTTATGTGGTCCTGTAGTGTCTTCACCTGGCACGAGCAGAGTTGTCGTTAGAGTGAAGGACACGGTAGTTTAACCATCATCCAATTGTTTTAACTAGTTATCTTTCCCGATGCAAAGATAACTACTCTAAACTGTTACTAGCATCATGAGCTATAGCTTGCTTGACTAGGACTGAAAAGAGTTACCTTGTAGGTGTTGAACCTATATTTAGTATTATGTAAGGCTACCAATTTTGCTTGCATAGTTTGAATGTGTAAATAAGATTTCAAAAATTTACCTTGAAAGTGCTAACCTGATTACTTTAAATGGGTATACACATGCCTTCCCTCTTAAATCAAAGGGGGAGGTGGTAGAGCTGAAGCTCGTGGTAAGAGGGGGAGTGAGAAGTGATGGGGGGTGGGGGGAGGAGAGACGAAGAATCAATACCAGCAGTAGCAGCCAGCTTGTAGTTACTGTGAAGAGGGAGTTGGGTGGGGGTTGCTTACTAATGTTTTATTTATTTTCACATTACAGGCGTGGAGAACTTGGACTCCGGTGTTGGTATCTATGCTCCCGACGCAGAGGCCTATTCCCTCTTCGCTCCCCTCTTCGACCCAATCATTGAAGACTATCACAAGGGCTTCAAGCAGACTGACAAACATCCCAACAAGGACTTCGGTGATGTTAACCAATTCGTAAATGTGGATCCCGATGGCAAGTTTGTCATCTCTACCCGTGTACGATGCGGTCGCTCCCTGGAGGGCTACCCCTTCAACCCCTGCCTTACTGAGGCCCAGTACAAGGAGATGGAAGAGAAGGTGTCTTCCACTCTGTCTGGCCTGGAGGGCGAGCTTAAGGGTACTTATTACCCACTTGCTGGTATGACAAAGGAAGTTCAGCAGAAGCTCATCGATGATCACTTCTTGTTCAAGGAGGGTGACCGCTTCCTGCAGGCTGCCAATGCTTGCCGTTACTGGCCCGTTGGTCGTGGTATCTACCACAACGACAACAAGACCTTCCTTGTTTGGTGCAATGAGGAAGATCACCTCCGTATCATCTCCATGCAGATGGGTGGTGATCTGGGCCAGGTTTACCGCCGGCTTGTAAGTGCTGTCAACGACATCGAGAAACGTGTTCCCTTCTCTCATCATGACCGCTTGGGCTTCCTCACTTTCTGCCCCACCAACCTTGGCACAACCATTCGTGCCTCCGTCCACATCAAGCTGCCCAAGCTTGCTGCTAACCGCGAGAAGCTGGAGGAAGTCGCCGCCAGGTACAGCCTCCAAGTTCGTGGCACCCGTGGTGAGCACACTGAAGCAGAGGGTGGTGTTTATGATATCTCCAACAAGCGCCGCATGGGACTTACAGAATTCCAGGCCGTTAAGGAGATGCAGGATGGCATCCTTGAGCTGATCAAGATTGAGAAGGAGATGGCCTAAACAAACTATTGCTGGGTAAAAGTTCGGCTCGACCCTCTATGGGTGAGGGCGTGCTGGACTCTGCTGTGAAGAGGTGCTCCCAACCTTGGACTCGAGGTAACCTAAGCGAGGGACCTAGAGGGCGAGTGTTGTGCCGGCTGGAGTGAGTCAGTGTGAGGCCCCGGCAACATTCCAAGAAACCCGGGGCTCTAGCGACCATAGGTCTAGAGGCCTTGTACATAACATCGATAACACTCGTGGGTAACGCTACTCCACAAATTTAACTTGTTACATCATGATACTATTATAAAATTAAACGTTACACATAGCACAGATTTCATTTCTCCCTCTGTCTTTATTCTACTACTATAATTTTTCAGAATCATGCATTTGTAAATTATTTCAATATTTATACCTCAAAGTCTAGACGCATAGACTGAAAAAGATGCATGAGCATTTTCCACGACTTTCAGAAAGGCAGTAAATTTATACTGTATATAAAGTGCATAATATCTACACGTACTAAAAGTATATTCTCTTTATATGGTAAATATTTTGACATTTCCTAGCCTAAATCCAGGCATAATAAGGATACGTAAACTAATGTATATCAGGAGCAAGTTCAATATAAATTTGAGGTACACTGCATTGGGGATCCTTTGATAAAAATCTTTAAATGCTATTGGCAGTTTTGACATCTTAAAGCTATCGACACTGGTTTTTAATAAATACTTGCCTGGTTTCACCAGGTAAGCTGATACCTAGATAATACTAAAACGGGGACCATAAATGTTTGAATCTTGACTTGCCAGGATATAACTAAAGTCGTAATGTTTGACCCACACATGACAACGTAAAAAAAAAAAAAAAAAAAAAAATCAGGCGTCCCATGGCGGTGGTGAAAGATTGGAGGGATTTGATGGGCTCTGCAACGAGGCCCGTTAGGTTAGCTAAAAGTAGAGCTTATGAAGCCTAGTAGAAACTTCATGATTCTTGTATTTAAAGTGTAAAGAATTTTTTACAGCTGGGCGAATTAATCTTGCTTCACGCATCCAACGAACTACAACAACTTCAGTGCTGGGAATGTGCATGCATTACCTAATGGTAAGTAGAGTTTAGATACTTCAAGATTTCTAGTAGTACATTTTGATTTACGTACTAGCACAGTTCTTGAACGCCATAGTATTTTTTTTTTCCCCACAAAGTGACGCAGTGTTAATACGTTTGACATTCGTATTTCTAAAGTTCATAGTGGTCCGACCCTCTATAGAGAAATGTGTCTAGCAGAAACTCTGGTACGCGTGCGGTTCTCCCTGCATAATAATGGATAATTCTTAAACGTACGGAAAGGGTAAACTTAATTTTTTTTTATAAGCGGTAGGAAAACTTCCTAGTTCATACCAAGGCCATCAAAACCTCTAGTACCATAGGTACTGTATAGTATGACAAGGTGATGACCCAACGGCAATAGAAGATAGCCGCCCCATAAGGAATGTATTTGTCCAATTCCACTATTCACGTGGGTGCAACCGTGCTGGGGATGAGCATTGGGCCACCTTACCCTGGGGAAGGGTCTGGGTGAACAGTTCTTTTCCCGGGGCGACAGTGGCGCGGGGAGGGGTTGGCACCCCTGTTCCGGCGTCGGGACGCCACCCTCCAAAATGGTCCATCCCAAAGAGTTAAACATATGACGTCACGAGCCTGACATGATATATTTGAAACCATTTACTTTATTACATTTTTTTATTAGCGATGACGTGCATCATCATCAATTTACTTTCGGAGCTCATTTTGAACCAGACTGCCGGGACGGGGGACTTGCTGCGCAGTACTGTAGCAATGACAGGCGTGGCTGTCACCTGCTGACCGTGCACCACGGACTGCTTCCCAGTCACTGTAAACCAATCCCGTGACTGGTAAACCTGTAAACTGGTCTCAATCTTTCACACTTGTAATCAACATTTGTCTACCCCCTCCCCCCAATCCCCTATAATTACCGACGCGAGATCTTACCTGGTTTTGACATGTTCGATTATGAGTCTTGACACTGGAGATTTATTTGAATCCAACGTGAATAAAATATAATGAATCATGATTAAAAACACACAATAGCGTAATTATGGCGCCAGAGCCTCTACCAGCGTCGCAAAACCGGATCAGCGTCAGTACTACTAGTATTACATTTAGAGGACTTAACTGCATACAGTGCTGGGTGGGAGACCTCCCACAGTAAACAGTGGTTGCTGGGTGAGCAGGCTGTACCTCCCACAGTAAACAGTGGTTGCTCGGAGGTGAGCAGGCTGTACCTCCCACAGTAAACAGTGGTTGCTGGGAGGTGAGCAAGCTGTACCTCCCACAGTAAACTGGTTGCTGGGAGGTGAGCAAGCTGTACCTCCCACAGTAAACTGGTTGCGTTGCTGGGAGGTGAGCAGGCTGTACCTCCCACAGTAAACTGGTTGCTGGGAGGTGAGCAAGCTGTACCTCCCACAGTAAACAGTGGTTGCTGGGAGGTGAGCAAGCTGTACCTCCCACAGTAAACAGTGGTTGCTGGGAGGTGAGCAAGCTGTACCTCCCACAGTAAACAGTGGTTGCTAGGAGGTGAGCAGGCTGTACCTCCCACAGTAAACAGTGGTTGCTGGGAGGTGAGCAGGCTGTACCTCCCACAGTAAACTGGTTGCTGGGAGGTGAGCAAGCTGTACCTCCCACAGTAAACAGTGGTTGCTGGGAGGTGAGCAGGCTGTACCTCCCACAGTAAACAGTGGTTGCTGGGAGGTGAGCAGGCTGTACCTCCCACAGTAAACAGTGGTTGCTGGGAGGTGAGCAGGCTGTACCTCCCACAGTAAACAGTGGTTGCTGGGGGTTGGTGGACACCACAGCCAAGCAGATCACAAAGACCAACAATACATGAAAACGAAATCGGGTGAAAAACTGTAACCAAATGTAGTTAGTCGAGCACAACTCTCATTCTCACATTAAACTTAAACAAAAATACGAATTACATTGTCACGTCTTTCTCTCCAGACGAGACCAAAATCAGCATGAAGACAGAAGACCTCAATAGAAGACAATGAAAGGCTACAAACTGATAACAATATCATCCAATGGGCAATGAAATAATTACAATCAACAGTGATAAATTCAAGCTACTGTACTTAGATATGAAAAGAATGAGGAAGTTTAAATGAATACAGAGCTCATAGAGTAAGTAATTATCAATAGAAGGCACCAAACCGGGAAGGCTATGTAGCACCAGAGCTCATAGAATGGAAAAAGACATGCAAAAGTTCTAGGAATTATAAGGTCAGATGACAGTGTTTAGTGACAAGAGCAAACGTTGCCAAATGATGAGATGGACTATGAAAACTTTCAAATCCAGGGATGCCACTTCAAGGTTCCTTCTGTTCAAATCACTTGTGCTTTCTCACCTTGATTACTAACTTCCCTTTCAAGGCAGGAGAGATTTCTAAAATGCTGTAGAAAGAATACAGAGAACAAGCTGTAAGCATACACAAATTAAAACACTTAAATTATTAGAATTGTCTTCATGCACTAAAAATGTACACGAGAAAGGAGATGAGAGGTATCATATAATATATATACAGTACTATATAATATAGTATTGTACCAGGTCCCAAACATGTGTTAAATATATAAACATTATTTATTATTTAAAAAACTCACTTGGACCTACACATAAAACCCTCCCACATATTCCAGAACTATCTGCCATATTATACATCTTTCTTTAAATATTATGCAAAACTAAGTAACAGCCAAGATAGAAATGGGTGGGCACATTTCCTTTCATCCAATGCCTGTGTTCACCCAGCAGTAAATAGGCATCCAGGAGTTAGGTAACTGTAATGCGGGTGGATCCTGGGAAAGGTCAGTGGGCATGGTGGAACTTGGTAGTGGACATTGGGGGAAACATGGGAAGTCTAAGCACAGGAGGCTTCCTCTCCCTGACAACAGGAATTATACAGGACTGCCTGCAAGTCCTGATTTTACACAAATATTTTAAAGTGACCAAAGCATACCAGCACTTTCCATTTTGAGTACTGTACCTACTGCTTTTAATATTCTGGTATGTATGTTGGTTTATTGTTTTAAAATCTTTATACTGGCTTTTAAGTGGTAATAGGTTACTGTATAAGGATTTGTTGAAACGAAATACGTGATGTCGAGAGCGCTGCTTGTGATTACCTAGTGCGTATATTTTTATTTTGTTTCTAGAGAACTTAATTGTTTGATAATTTCCTGCAAAATTGATGCATCAGACTGAATGGTGCAATACATCTCTGGATGATGACACAAGAGAAGCATTAGGGTTAAACTTTTAATAAGCATTGCACTGATGATGGATTGGGATATAGTTTTTGACATATTTGATTCCACCTGTATTATTGACATTGGGAGATTGCTAGAATGGAACTATTTAGTTATTCAGCATCATGTTTTCCCTAAAATACAATCCATCAATCATTTAACACCCAAGTTCCTAATATCTGCTGGGTACAGTGGTAGAGGTTATGTACAATGTTATAGTACATATCTTTCCAGATTTCAAGCCGGGAGTCATTGTTGCTTGTGAGGCAAGATACGAGTGCTTTAAATTTAACATTATTTTTACAGTACAGGGTATCGAGATTTTTTTTTTTTGCCATGTCGGCATGGATCGTGGAATGTTCTTGGCTTTCTAAAATAGCCTTGATATGAGGTGGGAAACTTGCAGCCTTTAATGATAAGTCAATGCTGCCTTCAAAAGGAATTTAAATATAACTTGTTTGCTTTTGATATATTTGAGAATATATAGCACAGTACAATATGCAGCCTTGTGTAATCTTCACTAAGTAAAATATGGTTTTCATGGTGTTTGTATGACTGTTTCCCACCCCTAGTCTTGATATTGTCATGCACTCTTTCTATTCAAAGCCTCCAATTGTTTCATTCTGACAAATCTATAGCCAATACTCCCTCTGACAAAGCCAGTCAGCTAAAACTTTTCCCGCCTCATGGAAACACACTCATGGACATAAGTGGAAGCCTAGTACCCAAATGAGCAAGAGAGACATTAGAAAAACCTTTTCATTGTCAGTGTAGTTAATAAATGGAATACATTAGGAAATCCATAATAATTTTCTTCTTGCAGTAGGCAAATGTCAATAAATTGCAATATCCACACATCACACTTTTATTATAATATAAAAGATACATTAAATACATCCTGACTAGTGAAATACATTAAACAGCCTCTGAATATAAAGTGGGTCACACAAATGGCACTGTTGAGGCAGTGCCATTGGAGAAGGCGGAAGAAATGTGGCACGAACAGTAGGTACCGGTATAAGCCATCTGTGGCTCTTTAGTAAGGTCTCACTTCTTGTTACGTGCAGAGAGGTGTTATTTACTTGCAAATTTATTTGTCAAAGGATTGCAAAAACATACAATGTTGCATTTGTGAAAAACTTGGCAAGAAGTCTACCACAGCAATACAGTGAAAACCATAGCCACTCTGGCATTGTATACAACAGAGCCACCTGGTCTGACATGTAAGCTCTTGGACACTTCTTACATCATCAAAATATCTACATACAGGACCCTGTTAACCATACCTTTGACTACCAAATATTCAGTTAAAAAGAAACTTGATTATCCAGAGCATAATTAGGCCTATGAAAAATATTACCCATGAGATCATATAATGAAATGTAATGAACTTCTGTGATAAGCACAATAACATTTTTATTTGACAGGACAATCATTTGACAAAAATCATTAATACTTTATATACACACACCGGTATTCATGTCCTGGATGATCAGAATTCTGATTAATTGTGTAAAGCAACATAAATATTATTTCTGCAAGCATGGCAATCCTTCAACATGCTTTTTTAATCAAGAGATCTTGTTATTTTTTCCAAGATGCTTTACTGAATTGTCATAAACTCATAATAATAAAGAAATGTGTAAATATATAAAATATATATATATATACATATATAATTAAAGGATTTTTCTTAAAATGATTGGGAGCAACTTGGAAAAAGTGAATCATTTGCAGAAAAAACTGCAACATATTCATACATATCCCATCTCCATTGTAAAACACCACCTTGTATAACTCCAGCCAATGCTTAACCAAACATAAGTAAGCACAAGACATGATAACCCATAATATTTGTACCCTACAATCAAATTAAATACAAACTAAAATCACAACTCTACTACAGTACATGCACACACACACACACACATGCATGCATGTACCCCCAACACATGCACACATATACCCCAACAATCCCAAATAAGTGAACAATATCTTGGACTAATCAAAACACTGAGCAAAATACCCACTTGTCCTATTTGATATCAACTCAGTACATTATGGTGGAACCTATGGTAGTCTAAGAAGGACAGAGAGAGGACTACATTGTAGGAACAAGTTACAACTGACTGAAGAAATAATTTACTCTTGCACATCCTGTCTTTAAGATTACATTAAGAATATGTTTTGTTATTATTATTTTATGAACTTGTTTAAAAGCCACAGGAAATAGTCAAGAAAAAACATGAGTGTGTTCACTTGATGTCAATTTAACAATACAAATGATGATGAAAATGGTTTTATTATTCACAGATTCAGTGAATAGTAATAAACAAAATAAACAAAAAAGAAAAGATTTCATGAGCAAAGTTACAGTATGTAAATGACTTACAAATACATACAGTACCCCTATTTAAAGCTTTATTGTAATGCAATTTAAAAATAAATGTAATTATTCGTAGAGGTAAATTCTACAGTCGGGCATTTATGGGGCAGTCAGGTAGCTATGTACTGGGAAACTGAAACAATGATTGATTCACTTAATTCAACTTCCACAATTACTACTACAAATTACTGAGCAGAATAAGGTTACAATAATGTATCCCTGTACACCTTCCTTGGTAACAAGCATGAGCATATAGAAGTCTGGTTGCTCTTGCTTTGTACAGTCTCGTTACATGGTACAATAAATTTTATTATGTTCACCTCGTCATTCCCGTAAGCTCATCCTACAAACATGGTAAATTCTTTCTGACACACAAAACTGTATTGTTGCAATTCTTGCAATAAGCTTAGAAATGCCATGTTTGTATTTCTCAACAATAATGAAAACAAGTCACGAGGGTCTTTCTAAATAAGCTCAAATATACGAGCACAATTATTCTTGAGTGCAGTCCAATAATAACTTGCAATTATATTCCAGTTCCATTACATGGCTATTATTTTTAGATTATAATTTTATTTATTATTTATTATTATTACCACCTGTATTATTATTATTTGCTTGTTTTCTTTTAAACACTAAAGTGCAAAAAAAAATTCCAGTAATTACGGTATTTAAAGAAAAAAGTTATCATCATTATAGTCAGGAAGTCTTTGGAAAAATACCACACTCTGACTCAAAACTATAATATACAGCCAAAAGACCACTTGTGCCTCACACTATCAATACACAATGGAAAAGGATCCTTATGGGTATCCCATCTAAGGCTGAAAATTGCAGGTCACATTTGTAAACCCAGCAGCTCCTACTCGGCTAAGGACCTAATAATGTAAGTAAGGCACATCACGAGCTGCAGGTATTAGAAGAAAACACCACAAACATCTATTATATCTACATAAAAAAAAGGAAAACAGGCTGCATCTTGAAAATGCTTGCATATCCTGAAGTTGAAACACACGTTTTGTCTCTTCCAAGTCCGCAGATGCTGCAGCTACTTTAACTAGGTCTTACTATTTATCAGTAAAAATGGCGGACTCACTTTTATTCTGTCTGATGAGAAATGATTCCAAAAGGTTCAATTTTCATATACTGTACTGATATATATATACAGTATATATATATATATATATATACTGTATATATATACACACAGTATATGGCCCCTTGTTCATGAATGTAAATATCCAACAGCAAATCACAGATAGTAAGTGCAATTGCCATTTCTGCTTGAGCAGTTCCTTCCTGCAATTACAGTGTGGACAGTCAAGGATGCACGAAGTCAAGCTTTGTGTCTCACAAACAAATGGAATGCAACACCAGTCATAATAGAGCATGTGTTCCAACTAATACAACACTGATACTTCCTTACACTCTATGATGGCATTCTTAAAAATTGTCTACATCCTCTCTGAGGTATGCTTTAACTACATTATGATATATATTTGCTGTATACTGTATTTATGTACAGTATTGTAAATCTGTGTCTGAGAATGACAGACAAGGGAAGGGGACAGGATAGTGGAAAAATATTTTGTAGTGTGTGTGTGTGTGTATGCATGTATGTAAGTACTCGTCTATTTGTGCTTGCGGGGGTTGAGCTCTGACTCTTTGGTCCCGCCTCTCAACTGTATGTATGTATGTATGTGTGTGTGTGTGTGTGTGTGTGTGTGTGTATAATCTCAAGAGGTGGATGGGTGTGTATTACGTATTTTGTTTGAAAGAAAGAAAGCAAATATTCTTCATAAGGAGTAATACCCAGAAAGATAGGTATACAATTATTAAAGATGTCACCTAGTACTGACTCTTCAAACTGCTTCAAAAACTATATTAATGGGTACTTCTTTAAACATGAATAAAAATAGTGATGTATTTAGGACATTGTCAAATGACTCTACAAAATCACTTTCGCATCATGTCCTTAGTTGCCAACAGTTAACATCATTTATGGTTTGCACTATAAGAAAGAAAATCCCTAAAGGGACTTGAGCTACCTACGTTACCACAAAGATGAGAACCACACAATCCAAAATTAATTGATGATGATTACTCTTAATTCAGCATTAAGGCCCCCACAAGAATGAAATATACTAACCCAAACGTTCTATGTTAAGAAATTGGTGTTGAAATTCTCAAAAAGCAGAATTCACCCAAATAGGAAAAATGTTGGTCTAAGATTAAGGGATGATCCTAGAGGAAATGAGCCATCATGATACAGACGGCTACATTGGTCAACTACTGTTCTCTTAAGTTACTTGGGGTGGGGCCACAAGTTATTTAATATTGGAGGTAAGACCGAGGGTTAGTTGTGTTAGTATTTCCTCTTACACGAGACTAGATTACAAACCTGATGTTAGTTTAACCACACAACTACATCTCCCTAGGACTAAACATCATTCTCTGGTATTAGTAATAAACTTATTTCATGACTAGTCACTAATCACAAGGTTGCCTAAGGTATTCTTTTTATTTAACGTGGCATGATAAATTGTGACACTGTCACTAAGTTGGGTGCATACACTGTCCAGGTGGCGATGCTGATGTATTTTCTTCTGTGATTGTCATTTTGTTCACATCTCCCTAGGAACAGGTTCAATTCTCTGGCATTAGTACTAACACTCTTCCTAGGAACATGGAACACACAAAACTCTGGTATTAGTAATAAGTTTCCCTTCTAAAATAAAACATTACTCTGGTGTTAGTAATACATGTAACCCTATACCTTGACTAGGTTTTCATAAATACTATTCTCTGGTGTTAGTAACAAAACTGGTATCCTGACTAGCAACTTGTCAACAAACGCCATTCTTCATTATTAGTAGCAAACTTAATTCCTTCATAGCCATTCAAGACAGAATTCTTCACTTATTCATTTCATCATCTATGGGAATATAATTATCATCACCACAAAGATGTGAATTGGTGTTAAACAGTTCTAATACTGATGATGTAAATGCACCCTTAAAAATCATGTGCAATCCATACATATTATCTCATTTTTCTAAGAGCTGCCTTCTTTCCAGTGGTATTCACAATACACACTTTGTAATGTCATGGTATCCAACTCTTAGGTTTTGACTGCTTCACAGTAATCCTCAATGAACATCATAAGTTTGTGACTAGAATAGATATTGATGCAAATCTTATATTTTTGGCCTATAAGTAGAAGTGATTAAAATTCTACTTTGTTGTAATGGTAGTACTTTTCAATACTGTAATTCAAATTTAATTAATATATAATAATTCTGAATTTACTGATTGGGCCATGAAACAACATTGAAAATTCAATGTCTGATGATTTAAACTCAAAGAGACGAGTATAAAAATCGGGGAAGAAGAAAAAGAGCACAAAATATTTAAGGAACTGCACTGCTATTTTCAGTACTACAGAACTCTTTACAGTTCTGCACTGCTGTTCACAGTACTGCACTGTAATGCTATTCACAGTTCTGAACTGCTAACTGCTCAAGTAATGGGATTCTTTTTAGGCTTCACTTGCAATGAGGTTGTGAATTACCATAGTTAGGCTGTGGTAAGCAGCAATCAAGGGGGATACGAGTGCACCCACATCATCAACATGCCGAGTTTGCTCTACAGTCAATAGGCACTAACAGTAACCATTGGCTCAGCTCAGCACTAAAACCTGTAAGAACATATATCAGCTTGGTACAAATGTCATTTAAAGATGTTAACACATCATTTGATAACTACATACGTGCATTACCTTAGCTAATTAAGTACATTATTTTGCCATCTTACATTTAATCTGGGTAGAAAAGTTTCAAAAGATAAACCAAGTAATATCTTAAGGCATAACCATATAATTCATTCACCTGGCATATGATCAATAAAGTGACCCATGGAATTTGGTGCACCGTACCACAATTTAAGTTACTGTAATTAGCAACTCACCACGAACTCTTCTACAAATGCCGATTATAACCTTCACTTGGGGAAGGCTCCTCAATGTGTGTTCTGACAGCTGTTTGACCTTCTCACATAGCTGGTCTACCACACACAATCATCACAATCACAATGGCCCCTCACACATATAAATTAAAATCTATCAGTTAAGTTAAATATTCAACCAAAATGAAACGCTCATTGCACAGCCTTCTCAAAATACCAAATTCTAGTGAACATCTTTTCTCACAATGTTTCAACCTCTTGCTTACACAATCCTTCACTCTCTATAACCATTATAAGCTAGATCTAAAGATAATGTTGATTTTCTTTATACCTTGTACACATTCTGTTATATCTGATATTACAAGTTTAAAGAGATGACATTTAGAGCAGCATGTGTACCTACCAGATTAAGGGAGGGAAGGGTGATTGCCCTATTATTTGTGAGAACACTGCTGTTATTAATTACTGGACTGTTTTGTAATCTTAAAATATAGAAATGATTTTTCTTTGTGACTAATATAAGAGTTCATTTAATTTGCAATGCAGTCATATCTAACATTAACCTAAGTCAAGCAATCACTAAGAATACAAATTTGATTAAACTAAACATTTAACTTAATTAAAATCTTCCAATTTTCATCTGCCATATAAAAATAGCTCTACTCCCCCTTGGCATCTCGGAGATAAACAGCAAGAAAAATATGGTAGTTAAACATATTACATAATCTTGCATGTTTGAAACAAATCCCACTGAGGGATGAATGATAAGCTTAAACTTGCATGCCATGTGGTGCAGTTTCTCAGGGCTGGCTCTCTTATTATATCCTTGCTAACACACTCTGGAAAAGGTACAGTATCTCAAAGTCTATTTAATCGCATCTTGATTCTACCTCGTGCTTTACATTCCACTACCAAACTCTCAAGTCTCCTCCAGGTATATATTCTCATTTTTATAACAGCTGTACTGTACTTGACAAGCAGTGCATTATATTGCACTGTACTTGACAAATACTGTATTATACTGTACTATACTTGACAAACACTGCATTATACTGTACTACTGTTCTTGACAAGAATGGCTCTAGTGTCATTGCATTTGTCCATTCGTTATACCTTACTTCAGCTGCCACTTACTACAACTGATCCAGCACCTGACTAGACTCCAGATCCTGATAAAGAAAATATTTCCCTGCCTAGCTACCTTCCTTTCCTTGTTGCAAGAACATAACAATTATTTTAACTTTAGTAAGAATAACTCTGAAAATAATACAATTCCTGAAGGACTGTTCTGACAAGATGTTCACCGAAGTGTTTTGAAAAGGTTATGCATATCGCACACACATTTTATTATATAAATATATATATTTATTATATACTGTATATATATAATATATGTGGTGGGCACAGGTGTTCAGATGCGTTACAGTGTGCCGTATCGAGTTTAAACTGACCTGCTGCACAAACACGAGTAACAAAGATCAATTGGGTGTGAGCAACATTTAGAGGGCACATTTAGAGGGCACATTGGTTAAAATATCATCTTGGTCTTAAAATACATTATGGTGTAGAAAATGAACAGACAAATCCCTCCCCTCCCAACACTTACGCGACTTACAATGTTAGAACAATCTATACACGTGTTTATTCCAAAATTAAATCATCTTTGACAGTGTGTACATGGTTCAGCAGACAACAATGAAAAGTAAAAGATACATTTGAAGTAACGCATCTTAAACTTGGGGGGGGGGATGGTGGCTAGTTATTTACATAAGCCATTGTTTTGGTTCAAACTGATTGTCTTCATTATTCAATTCTACAATTCTACCATGTCAGTACAGTATTCCATAGAAAAAATCAAACTGCTCAGATGATACAATTTGGAACTGTTAAAGCAATGATTTGTCTTCAATATTGACCAATTAGGTACCTTATCTTTCATTACACATGAAAGCAGAAAATACTCCAGAAAAAAAAATTACAAATGTTAAAAGTCTGATACAGCAAAAGTTGCAAGAATGAGGTGGTAGGCGAACAATCCATAACATTCTGATAGACAACATAATACAACACTTTGACAGCTGTTTCTGTAATAATGATAGTTTAAATTAAAATAAAACTTGAAAAGGTCACGATACAAATGACTTTTCCACTGATTTCCTTGTTCACCAAATTATATTTCATTATATATTTGTATTCTCAACAAATTTTTCATAACATTTAATTAGACACAAGGAAACAGTGATTTCGTTGTGGAATGCCATAAGTGGGATTTCAAGTATTAACTAGTACAGTAATCCAGAGCCAGGCTAACAGTTGTTATATTGGATAACAAACAACACTTGAGGTCAGTTCAGCATAAACACCCTAAGGAACCCAATAATGTACAGTCAAATTGGTGTTTATTTAACCTAACAGGTAAGCTCGTGGAAATATATACCTGAAAATTGCAATTATTTGCAGACTTTGCAGTGGCCATGAATAACAAATGACCCTTACTCTACTTCTGACATGACTCAGGCTTAAAAAGTTATTCATCAACATTACATATTATCCCACATCTTTACACGGTAAATTAGGGATAGCCTGATAATGTACTAAGCACAACAGTTGCCATAAGCCACATGTGTTGGACAATAACAATATGATGTGAGTGATTGTGAACAATCAAAGTGTGGGCACACACAACTCTACCAGGCACCAAGCTTTAAAAACTATGGTAATGCACTTTTACTGCTTCATCATGTTACTGCAATTCCCCAATTTATCAACAACAATTTACCTAGAATTCGATTATCTCGAAGAAAACACCTAATGGCCTAGACAGTAACTAACATTAGGGAGTATAAAATTGTTACGGGATCTTAAAGTCAAATTTAAACCAGGTTGTCACCAGCCACACCGAGCATTGGCATGTCAACCCACGTGAGCAAGTCCTGCACATGGTGAGGGGTTATCACGTAGTAAAGTGTTTGGTTTGTGTGGCAATATTCAGACTAGACTATTATTGCAGCTTCATTGTAACATTTGTACACATATAAACACACAAATACACACACACACGATGCAATCGCACACACTCACAAGTTTGGTAATCATGTTTCTTCTGACTAGACACCACTAGGTACCAAATCTACTATCAATTAATGCACTCAAATATTAAAAGTACATTGTATAGTAATAACACACTCAAAATGTATCTATAGTCTGTACTGATATGAGCAAAGAGGCAAGGCTTCTTCAAAATTTGGTTGTATACAAAATTTCTTAACATCAATTATTCTATCATTGAACATTAAGGCATTTCAAATATTGTCTGTAGATACAAAATCTTTGTTTGAAACAAACTTTGGGTCTGCCTCCATTACATTTAGGCACTGTAAAATTTATTTCATAAAAACACATCTACATTCAAAATATATATATGGTAATAACCTCTGCAGTGTTGGACCTCTTTTTCATAAGTGCAAGAAGTCAATGCACTCCTTCCAACATCTAATAAATAATTATCAACAGAGTGCTGAAGATGGTAATAAATTAACCCCCAGTCTGTGATCCCGATAGAGAGAGGTAAGTGACAAGCAGTGCACCTCCTCAATGGTAATATTGCAAAAACTCTTGCAAAGTGTAACAGTTAAATCTTTACTGACCATCATCTGCTTGTGAATGCAAGTCGTCGTCATCATCATCATCTTCTTCCGTGTCTTCGGCAATGACCAGACCTTCGTTGTGATCAGATGAATCATCCCTATCCTCTTCTCGATCGGCTTCATCAGGACCCCCATCCCTGCCTTCACCACTTTCATTTTCTAAGCCATTCAAACCGGGTAGCCCTTTACCATCATCCATGTTCTCGCCATTATCAGCTCTTCTACCCCCAATTGGCAACATTCCAGCTTCTTGAGTCTCAACCTCCACCGGGTGATGTTTCCTAAAGATGTAAACAAAGGACAAATTTAAATTCATCTGATAAATACTGTAACTTGCTCTCGAGTGATAGTAATTCAAAATGCCATTTGAAATTATATGGATACAACTTCTCACACAATGAAGGAACATTTAGTTTCAAGATGATCACTGTTTGGTTTCAGTCACCAATGGAAAAAAAATAAAAAAAAAAGGCAAGGGGGATTGTCCCTTCTTACTGATGATGCATATTACATCATCACGGGTTACACTCTCACTGTTGAACCATCCACTAACAGTCCTTGCGATAATCTTGTTCTCAGACAAGAAATCATAACCGATTCTAATTTCCACAAAATATCAAATGCTTGCACATGACTTTCAAGAATCTAAAAGTAACATTAGAAATTAGCTATGCCGAACACAGATCAAGAAACGAATGGGGAATTTGCCTCAAGTAATGCACATGTAAGCAGATTAGGCAACTGGATATTATACAACAGTGATTCACAGTTACCTACCTAGTATGTGTTTTTAGATTATCCTTCCGACCAAAAGCAGCAGAGCACCACGGGCAAGGAAAACGTCGTGGGTTAAGATGCTGCTTCATATGGCGTCGGAAATTTGCTATATGCTTGATGGTGGCGCCACACAATTGGCAGGTCAGACTCTGAAAATTATATTGTCTTTTGAGTATGAGTATTCAGACATCTCTCTACATTATTCATCATGGGTAATTTGAAGCATGTACTAGCTTAGGAATACAAACTTTTTACAATTTCCACCAACATTTGAAGATTAAATCAAACCGTGAATAAATGTATGAAAATCTAAGTACTGTATTATCTACTGTTTATCTATTAGTATCAACATTCATTGACTTATATGAGAGAAAATTAGTTTTGAGTAAATGAAAAGCACCTCCTTAAGCTTACATATTATTTTGCTTCTTGAGGTATAATATAATTTGTCCTTTAGGAAGAGGATGATACACAGTGAGGCAGGAGTGACTTACTGCACCAGTACCACTGGGAACTTTTCAAACTGTCCCTGCAGGGTCATGAAGGTGCTCAGGCAGCACCAGAGATATGCATTTCAACCAACCAAGAACAGCCATGAGAGGTCTTGAGAAAACATACTAAATCTGTATGCAGATGAAAAGTCACAATAAAGTGGCTTTAAAATGTTGACCAAACCACACACTAGAAATTGAAGAGACGACGAAGTTTCAGTCTGTCTGTCCTGGATAATGGTCCAGGACGGACTGAAACAGTGTCGCTTCAATTTTTAGTGTGTGGTTTGGTCATCACACTAAATCCTTCTAGAGCCACTAATGACATCGCAAAATGATTGCTGTAACTGGCTCTCATAAACAACCCATCTTCTTCCACTGTCCATATTTGCCTGCACCACCAGGTGGCAGCTGGACTAGATGGGTAAGCATCTTTAAGCTTGTCTCTGGTTCCATCTTCAGGAAGCAGAATATAGTCTAGGGTGAGCTCTGCAGCATAGGCGAGTTTCCTTCCTTATTTTGTGTAAATTAGGTTTGCTGCTGCAATCTACACTGTACCGTATCAGAATAAGCAAGCTTGGAAAATAGGCTTCGAGTAAAATATATGAAAAGAACCCTTCTGAGCTGGATTTTCTACCACTTCTATTCCTGCTCTATCTGTCGATGCACAGATAGGGCAGGAACTACCAGAAAGGTTTCTACCTGTAAATCAGGATGCAAGCAAAAGTGCTCAGGTGGTAGCACTGGAGGTTGGGTAAAGTGCTGCCACCTGGTGGTTTAGGTAAATATATACAGTATAAAGAAAAAAATTGGTAGTTTACCAGTGCTGGCTACAACTGTATCAAGGGTCATTCTGTGATGTCGTTAGTGGCTCTAAAAGGATTTAGTATGTATTCTCAAGACCTTTCATGGCTGTTCTTGGTTGGTTGAAATTTATAACTCTGGTGCTGTCTGAGCACCTTCACGATCCTGCAGGGACAGTTTGAAAAGTTCCCAGTGGTACTGGTGCAGTAAGTTACTCCTGCCTTACTGTGTATCATCCTCTTCCTAAAGGACAAATTACATTATACCTTGAGATGAAGCATAATAAGCAAGTTCAGAAAACAAATCAGAATGCAGAGGAAAAAAAAAATCACGAAAAGCGCACAATTAAACATTTTAGCAGTACCCGTGTAGTGTCAGTTCAAAGAAGCCCACTCACCCGAGACTCCTTGTTGGTGGGAGATGGGACTTGTTGCTGTTCCTGTACAGTGGTTGGGATGAGTGGGGAGAAGGCGCGATCCTCAGCCACCAGACTTATCATATGGCGGTAGCTGGCCAGAAGAGGGTTGGTGAGATCACCGACAGTTCCTCCCAGTTCACTGGTAGTATCATACATGGGCAGCAGAGAAGGGTCTGTGCATTTGTCTGTCTCTACTGAGGTAGCAGCATTGCTGTCTGCATCCAACTCACATTTTATATTTTCTTTGGGGATCTGCTGATTAAAAACAAAACTTAGTAAAGGAACAAGTACATGGTCACAGTACTGCACCTACATTAATTTGTATAATTAAATCTCATGTCACTGTAAATCCCTAATTAATTGTACATCTGGCTTTGTGGCTTTATACCTGGACACAAAGTCCTCTCATACACCTTATCTGCTAGGAGAAGCTGGGTACCTTATTTGAGAAATTCTAAACAACAGTGAAGGAGTAGAGTAAATGGAAAGAATAGGTGGACACATGCAGATAAACACTATACAGTACCAATAACACTGAAAGAAAGTAGAGATAACATTTCTGAATTATTGCAATAATATGAAATTCCTTCCCTCAAATCATATAGGGTAAATAAATAATAATTGGCCCACAAATTGAGGAGTTCATATCAACCCCCATTCACCCCTCTCCCATACATAATCACGGCCAAGTATGCACTGTACAAAGTACTGTAAGTGGCTTGGCTTGATCTAGTAATGAAATGCAAAATCGAACACCACTGGAGAGCACCACACAAACAAAGTCACAAAAACTCAGATCTGGACAAGACATCTCAGATGTAACAATGAACACCCACAGCCAACCAGGTGGGAGGAGGTGAGAGAGCTTGAAGGAGTGAAAGGTTTGTATGGTGATGAGCCTTCTGGAGAACTTCTGCTGTTGCATTCCTGAATTGGAAATTCAGGAAGGTTGTATGGTAGCAGGGCTAGAGACAGCTTCTCAAGATAAACATGTGAACCCTCTACCACTGCCAACAACTGAACAAACTAGACACAAGAGAACATACACCTGAGGGCCAAAAAATGACAAAACCTCTGCCAGACAAGTCAACAAAAGGGAAGGGAGGCCCACAAGTAAGCACCAGATGAAGTCGAGTTGCTCAATATCCAAGTGCAAGAGTCAAACAAGCCTCATTAAGATAAATGAATACAAAAAAAAAAAAAAAAACAGCGTTGAATGTAATGAAATGCTCTTTTCTGGGCAAGACTCGGAGGCTTCCCGGAGCTATCTAGGCTGATATTGGTATTATTAGACTTTGGCATCAGTCAATGTGAATGGAGTACATAGGCCTACCGGGGACCATGAGCCAGAACCTGGCCTCCTTCAGAGAGGCATGAAGAGCAAATGGCCTATAGAATTACACGTGATTTGGAGCATTCTATGTCTGCCATTGACCGGGTCAGGCACCCAGAAAGATAAGCATCCCAAAACAAATCTCTATTCTGGTTGAAACTACTACTGAAAGTCAAACGAGTGGACAGAAAACAAACTCCCCAAAGAAAAACAAGCAAACGAGCATGACGTCACCACTTGCCACGCCGCTGTCTGCGCAGCTTCCCCCTCCCTGGGAGGGGGAAGTGGGATCCCCAGACTCCCCACGCCAGCTACCCACACCTTCAGTTCTGAGGCTAGATGTCAAAACACACGCAAAAAAAATGCAGACCGGAGGGAGGGAGGAATGCCGGGGAGCCTCTGGGTCTTGCCCAGAAAATGGCATTTCATTACATTCAACACTGTTTTTTGTAGGGGGGTGGGGGGGGGGGAGCTCATTTGGCTCCCCGGAGCTACCTTACCTAACCAAAGATAAGAAAAAATTGGGACGTACCCGGGAGACAGACGCCATGAGCCCGAAATGTGAAAACAATACAACGGGCAACCCCGAATGACCCCACTGACGACCCGGGAAACCCAACCCCGAAACAGGGAAGCAGGGATCCCGGGCAACCCAAAGCACGTCCACAGCAATAGAGGCTAAGGCGTGCAGGCAATGGTGGGGAGCCACTACCGGACTCAAGACGCACCCCCAGCCAAACCAACCAAGCAGCTACAACCCAAGGACCCCTCCGGAAAGCAGACGTCACCTTTGTCACCAGGCAAGAATGAGACAGTTGCAAACGAACAAACTGAACCCCAGAACCAAAAGAGCAGAAATCTTTGTGCCCGAGGAGAGCATGAAGCTCCCCTACCCAACCTCCAGAAGCCAAGGTCGGGAGGAAATGATACCGAGAGAACAACCTAAACCAAAGGGGCCACTACAAACCAAGGGGGAAGAGAAAGAAGACAGCACGCTGTCCAAAGACCAGGACAGCTCAGGCGGTGCAGGAACAGGCCAGAGGTGAAAAATGCCCAAAACAGCTTGGGAAAACAGCGCAGAAGTAACAACAAAGCTGAAAGCACGATGCAGCGGCTCCGCCAGTGCCGCACAATATGAGGTGACAGGATTCGGCAAAAGAAGACTGTCCTGAACCAGCACGAGAGAAGGACAAGACAACAGTAACAAAAGCGAAGGAACCTATGCAGACACAAAAGAACAGAAGGACTGCCAAAATCTGCAGATTGCCGCCAAGATAAAGCACACAGGTGGGACACCATTAACAAAGCCACCTGATCATCACATAGAAGGCGATTTACACGAGTCAAAAAGACCAGACGCGAAGACTCGAGGAGAAGATCAGACCAGCAATAAACCGTACTAGACTGAGCTGCCAAAAGAGGCGGAACCGCGGGAAAACTCCTGGGTTCGGAACCTGAGCAAGCAGCCCCTGAAACCAAAACTGGACCAGCTACCCAGGGCCAAGAGGACTACTTCCCCCTTATAAGTCTCCGAGCAAGCTAGGGCCAGGAGCAACAGCGGAACCCTGAAAACCCGACAAGGAAGCCAGCGAAGCAGCAGCTGATGCAAGGCCCCAGGAAGTCGATCCCCACGAACACGACAGAGGCGAAAGGGACGTCCCCAAAGGGTCCCAAACAGATGACGAAGCCAAACCCAAACCAGTGGTTAGACCAACACGGCAACTACAGGCTCCTGCACAACCCTCGAGCAACTGCCGGGTGACCTGGGAGCAGGGTCCAATGGGGCCCAAGGGCCCCATGTCAGCCCCTCTCCAACCCCGGGAACCTCCAAACCAGGACCCGGGACTGAGTCGTCCTCCAAAGCCCCGGCCTCACAAGAAAAAGCCGGGGCAGTCGGAAAGGCAGGAAGGAAAGGGGCCCACTGGTCAGACCCGAGTACTTGGGAGATTACTCCTGGCTCGCACACCACCAGAGAAGACTCGCCCCACACCACAAGGCACAGAGCAGAGGACAGAATTCAGCAGCCAGAGCCACAACACCCAATGCCATTCACATCAGCCGAATAACTGAAGGTGTGGGTAGCTAGCCTGGGGGGGCTGGGGCTCCCTCTCCCCCTTCCCAGGGAGGGGGGGGGGGAAGTTGCACAGACAGCAGCACAGCAAATGGTGATGTCATGCTCGTTTGCTTGTTTTTCTTTGGAGAGTTCTGTCCATTTGTTTGACTTTCAGTAGTAGTTTCAACCAGAATAGGAGTTTGTTTTGGGATCCTTACCTTTCTTGGTGCCTGACCCAGTCAATGGCAGACATAGAATGCTCCAAATCACATGTGCAATTCTATAGGCCATTGCTCCTCGTGCCTCTCTGAGGGGGGGCCAGGTTCTGGCTTGTAGTCCCCGGTAGGCCTATGAACTTCATTCACACTGACTGATGCCAAAGTCTAATAATATCAGCATGGATGGCTCCAGGGAGCCGAAGGGGCTCCCCCCAGAAAAGAGCTCGATACACTCCCAGTTGTGCAGCATCTCAAAACACTGACACAGCAGTGCTGTTCCTATTGTATGGATCACCTGAGATATAGAACCAATAGGTGCAGAACCAATGAGATGTGACACATATGCTGCTCTCTCGGTGAGGCTGCAACTTTATAGCTTGTGTATTCATATAAACTGCCCTAGGAAGGTTTAGGTCTGTAGCAAGATGTGAAGGCCCATTAGACCTCTTGCTATGACAGGTTCAATAAACCCTTAATCCAAGCCTGATTGTACTGTTTCCTAGCCTTGAGTCCGAGCATTCTGGCTTATAGGCCTGCTGCAGTGCTCTCAAATTCTTTTTGTTCTGTAAGGAGGTGGTGAGTGCCCCAGTGTGTGTAGTCCGAAGCTCCTAATGAACACACACTTTGGCAGAGGTTACTTGTGCACTCCTCAGTTTGCAATAGCTCAGAGAATCCTCAGGTCTTTGTACTGCAAAACTGCAGTCTAAGAAAATTTGCATGTATGTGCATATGCACAATCACCCTTGAAAGAGAACCAGTGTTTGACAGGAACTTTGGCATGCTAGTATTGTTGTACAATGTTAATGCAGCACTGCAGATATAACATTAAAAGGAAAAAAACAATCTTTGAAAAGGCAGCTTGAAATGCTACAAGCTTCCAATACTGTGATGGGTCTGGAGAGACGGCACCCTATCCTCAACACAATTTTTTCCATTTTGTAATTTTTTGGGGTAAGATTATTACATGAAATGAGACTATGACAAATATTCACATACTGTAATCATGAGTGATAAAAGACCCAAACACTAGAATTTGGCAGTGCTTACCTTTCCATCCTTCACATTCTCTTGGCTGTTTGATGGCAAAATATTTGATGAGAGGCCTTTACCTCTCCTGCCTTCTTGGGGTTCATGATTCTTTCTTCGAGATGCCCCTCGGTTACCCTCCTTGATAGTTTCTCCAGCATCCCTTTTACTTGATGAAACTTTAGTGGGAGTAGAGGTAAAGAGAGTTCGAGGAATTGCAATGGACTGAGGGACAGTATGAGCAACGGACTGAGCAAGTGTTTGAGCAGCAGTAACAGATTCCAGGCCCTCAAGGCATGAGCGCAACTTGGATTCTGAAAGAGAGAGGTCCCAAGTAGGGTTGGGAGTCTGGTCTCCATCAAGGTCATGTTCAGGAAGGTCTGCACAACTTGAATCCATTAACTGTTCAAACCCATCATTATTCTTATTATTACTGGATTTGTTTATGGCATGACCGTAGCTGTTAGCTGGAGACAACAGTGATGCAAAGTTGGTGTCTAAGCCCTTAGACTCTACATTACTAGTGGACAGACGGGGAACTTTCTTTGGTCGAGGATTATGGCTATGAGGTGAAGGGGATGCTGGAGAAATGGGGGAAGATGCTCTCTTTTCTCCTGTGCTGGTCTGATGATCCCGTTGTGAGACATCTCCAAGGCCTTTGATGCGTAGACTCTCAGCAATCTTGATGAGACCAGTTAGTTCACTGTTTGCAACACTCACCTGATAGAAAAATAGTTTGATTAGAATTCACTCAACCCATTGAAGTTAAACTTAAGAATATTGTCTGGCTAGGTATTGTGCTTTCAGCTTTCAAAAACTATATAACCAACTGTATTCAAAACATTCACATACAGGTTCTTATGATTAAATAATTATCAAAAGAATGCACCAGGCCAGGAAAACTGTAGCACCAAATTTGTGATTAATTTTCTGGTTTGTAAACATGAACCATCAACTACAAAGCAAGTTTTTTACCTCCCCGCGATAAATGAACTCCAGCAGAGCCTCAAGCTCAGCTTGTTTGACGTCCCTGAGGTATATGAGCGGATGTTGGGTAGGTAATCGGGTAAATAATTGGTGGAAGTAAGGGGAGCATGCAGCCAGAACGAGCCGGTGGGCGGGGTAGCTGCCACCGTCGCATAGTAGTGTAACATCTACAAGCTGGTCCTGAAAGATAGTAAATATGACAGCATCTATCTTTCTATAACAATAATGACTTGTTTTCTGTGGTTATTCCTTACAGCTAGAATCTTCCACACATATTTTAAATGCTTTTTTAAGTGTTTTAATCTCCTTAAAAAAAACATCAAATCATTTAAGGCAATTGTTAATTTAAATTTACATATCACAACAGTGAAGTGGTCTCCACATGCTTGCCTCGAGGCAAAAGAATGTGAAAAATTAATAAAGTCTTTCCCTAGTAAATGCATACAAATGAGACAGAAGAAGTGAAGAAATATGATTGATAAATATACATAAGAAATGAATGGCAATATAGGATTTATTGAAATGGTATCTGTAATGTAGAGTTGGGAGAACAGAGACCACCACCCTATGGTACTGTAGTGTGGGAGTAGTCAAAGGAAATAACTATCAATAGGGAAAAGCTTGTACTAGCTTTTCCTTATCGACAGTTATTTCCTATTATTGTTATTGTACTATACCCTGTTTACTATTTTCCACAGTAATAAATACTCCCATAAATAAGCAAGGTTCATCTTTTCTCCTTTTTATATATATATATATATATAAAACACAAAATCCTATTCCTTTTATAAAGGTGATCCAACTGACGTCAAAGAGAGTTCACAGACAGAATGAGTGCAGAAGGATAGTGGCATTAAGTTTTTTAATATTATCATGCCTAGCCTTGGAGAATGAAAGCTATCAGAGTTGAACATAAAGCTACATAGATGATAACTGAATGACTGAAGATGAAAGGGGTTGGGAAAGTCATATTTTTAGGGAAAATGAGAAGCTACTTTCTAAGCAAGATACAGTACTCTGATACTCCATAAGGCAACATAACTAAGGGTCCCATTGGAAAGGATCATGACTGTCAGGGGCAAGCCAAGAAGGTGATACTCTACAATGGCCCAAAAGGAGCCTTATCAAACACCTATGTTTGATGATATTAGTGATAGGGAGGCACTGGAGAAAAGCTCAGTCAGCCACAGAGTAGCCACATATTTGAAGACCAAAGCTTGTATTTTCTCTGAATGTTTTCAATTTCCCATTACTACTCACTCTTAACCAATGAATGCCAGAATCTTTACTCTGCCACTTCCCTCCCCAATCACACTTAAGTTATTTAAGTAATTCAGTCTTTTTGTCAATGGTAAGCAAGTTTTTTCCCTTACGTACTTGATTTAACATTACAACTTTAGCTGTCCAACATACTAGTAATTTCAACTTGTGAAAATGCTATTGTAACAAGACTTCACATGATGTTCACACACAAGGAAACACTTGGTCAATATGTGTGCACTTACAGCAACTCGCGTGGCTATCACTAAATGTCATGGATAGATGTGGAGTGCACAAGTTACTGTAATAATCTGCAAGACTGAGAAGAGCATTCTGAATTGGTTTGGTTATGTTATGTTGACTGAATGGATGATTGATGGTAAACTGGTGAAGACAGTATTTAAGTGAATTTCAGGGTAGCAGGAGATGAGGAAGGCTGAGAAAAACATGGATGGACACTGTGAGTATACTGTAAAGCGGAAGGGGGTAACAACCCGCCAAACACACACCAAAACTACGACGTTGGTACAACGTTCGAACAAGTTTTAACATCTAACCAGTTATAACAACCAATATAGCAAGTTGCAACAATGTTCTAATACGTCATGTTAAGCCAAGATGTAACAACTTTATTACAAGTTGTAACAAGCGGAAAATAGAGACAGTTTCGGTTTGTGTTTACAGGGAAGTGTTGACAATGTGTGTGGGGTTACAGTAAAGGGCAAGGCTACATGGAAGTAGTCTGTACAATGGTAGTAAATGTATTTTTTATGTACTGTAATGTATATGACAATTAATGGAAAGTACTATACACCTGGTTTGATGAAGTGGCAAGATGCTGTCATGAATGATCGCTGGAGTGTTGTTTATCCCTGGTGATCTGTATTGTATTGTGAACGATATAATAAATAGATCAGTGATAAATGTTTTATTTAAGAGATATAACTTTTTACTACGTCATTTTTTTTTATGCTGTCCCTTTCCACCCTATGACAGTGAGAATCAGGGTGACTAATATATGACAATGTATGTATGTATGTATATATGTATAGTACAAATAATACAAGTACTGTACCTGTACAGCAAAACATTTTTAAATACAGAAGTGTAATCTATTGCCTGTAAAAGAGTAAAAATATATTGTCTGCTGGATATTACTTTATGGTAACAATATGGATTGAATGGCAAACATTGTTTGGAGATTTTATAATGCTGTAATGAGTTACATATTCTGGAGGTTACATTTTAATTAGCTACAGTAGTAAAAATTATATCTTATTACTCTGACAGCTTACTTGGACTCGAAGCTGCGTAAAGACTTCAGCAAAATTAGAGCGGTGATTGTTCCAGGTTAAAAGGAACTGGTCCGCCCCCATGACTAGATCTGAAAATGAAAAACAAAGGATACATACAGCTTTTCACTTATAATAAATTATATAAATTATATAAATGACCAATTTTAACCTGGTTCAATTATTCAAACATTAACTTAATTAACTCTTTCACTTCAATATTCAACTGTACAAGAATGAATACAAATTATCCTTCACCACAATACTTAACTTTTCTTTCCCACCTAGAAAAATAATAATTTCTAAATACCCAGTACTACGATGTTCAACCAGGTCCTCAGGTATACTTTAATGAAGTCTGGACCAGGTACAAACTTATCTGTCATGACAGCATTAAATATCAACCTACTGACTTGCAAAAGTGCCTCCCACAAACTCTCACATTCACACTAAGAATCTATAGGAAAATCTTATTTGTTCAATTTTGTTTCAACATAATTAAGTGTATTTTGTAATTTTGCACATAATGATGATGTTGAAGATTGTCACAATTATGAATGCTACTGGGCTAAGATGCCTGTTTCCACCCTCTTAAGTTATTGACTTTGTAGAAAGGTAAAATATGTATACTCTTGACCACTATATTAATGATTAATCAATTTTGACTGATTTATGTCCCCCTGGGTTAAGATATGCGAGACTGTAAATACTGTCTAATTAATGGAACACTTCATGCCATACCTGCAGGATACCCAAGATTTACTATGTATATAAATGATACTTATAATAAATATAAAACAGTTAACAAATAATAAAATAAATAAAAAATTAGCAATAGAATAAATTATTAAGACAGTGTATCAAAGTAAATACAAAAATAAATAAAATGCTTATATGAGGACAAAATATAATACACATACTAGAAGTATTAACAATCATAAGGACAACTAAATTTAAACTAAAAGAAAAAATCTAAAAAACAACAAAAAACAAAAAAAAAACAAAAAATGGATCACACATGTAAATATATTTATGTTAAAAAGATGAATATAAATTAAAAATAAATGTATTGTTAAAGTGAGACTGACTTAGCAGGACTCAAACTCTGATCCACCCTTTCATTTACCAAGTAAGGACAATACCCACCCCTCCTCCCTATCACTTGACCCCTCATCCCCTTGCTTATACTACACTGTGCAACTGTTCTCTAAGCACATATGAAAATGTATTTATGCATACTAATTGTGATTTGTAAGTAAACTTTATACTTTATTTAAAAAAAAATCACTTGCATTACCTTTGGTGGTTGAATGTACAATAACCCACTGTGTTTGTTGTATAACAGTCCTCTAACACTGTCCATGGAGGACACACATGATAATAATGTGGTTAATACTGTAATTGAATTGCTACATCTATAGAACATGCACCAATTAATCAGTCACAAGAATATTTCTCCAAATCACAAAATAGAACAAGATTTTATTTAATATAGTAGTTGACATATCACTTAGTGCTAGGCTTCCCATCTTGACAGCTGTATAATAAACTATATAATATGGAGAGATGTTTTGTGAAATTGCAACTCAAAAATTATAAGGATGAGGTATCCTTAAATATAAATAAATTCTGCCTTAGATTTTATCTAAATTTAGCACAGTCCCTTGATTATGGAATACAATGAGACAACTGTTGCATGTTCTATCTGAAGCGTAGTCTAAAGTATCGCCTTACATAGAGGACAAGTTACACCATCACTATGCAGTATATCAACATATTTTAACTTGATATAACTCCTAAACATGTTAGGGGGACTGAGTGTTCGGAGTGTACTAGAGAACAAGCGCTCGGGGCCCTTTACATTTTGCCTGAATGAAGGAATGTGGATTGTTTTGGTTGGTCCTGCAGGACGTAGCAGAAGCTACTGACCCCCGGGCCACGAAAAACCTCCTATTATGCCTTCTATTCAATGTCCTCCTTACGTATTTATACGTACAAACATGCACATTAGCCTCCCTATTTACCTACCGTTCATTGACGAGAAAATAGTAATAATTAAACAGTGTATAATTCACATTTTTGTTTATGGATTCTCTTAACCACAACTTTTGTTGTGGTTTTTGTGGCTATGTGAAAAGGAGAATTATTCCCGACGCGCCTGAGATGGACAAGTGACGATCGCTCAGGGGAGTAGATCGTCTTCTGGAAGGCAAAGTGGGGTCGGGGAGCCGCCCGGCGCCGGGTCGGGCTGCCCACCCGCCTCCAGGTTCGCCCGTCTATACAGTCAGGTTGAGGGGAGCTGTTATGAGCACGGGGTAAAGAGCTCCAAATGTTTTTCATAAAATCTGCGGAACTTCAACTCGGATCTTAGACACGGTAAGTAGAGTTTTCTCGTGAGTGTAGGTGGAGCCTCGCCGGCCGCTGCTCCTAGGGTGTGTGTGTGTGAGACCAAGATAAAGTTAGGGGTAGAGAAAGTGAGGGGCGGGTGTGGGCTGGTGCGTGGCGCCCGCATTCCGCGCACGGCCCGCCCGCCCCTTGGCCGCCCCCGCCACCCGCTCCCACCCAACGCCCGCCCGCCCGCCCTTTGTTGCTCACCCTACCACGGGCGGCGTCCTGACCACCACTCTCACAGTCACCACCGCTCACCTTCCAGCTGATCCACACCTGCAGGGTGCTGCCCAGGTAAGTCTCAGGTGTGCTGCCTGGATCCCCCCAGGTCTGGACACTCACGCCCATGTGTGTGTGTGTGTGTGCCCCCGCCAGGTGTGGCTGCTTGTCACTCAACTTGCTTGGTGTTGAGAGCTTGTAAGAGCCTGGGACTCACTGCATGGCTATTCCTGCAGTGACAGCCATAGGGAGAAGGTTCACTGGTCCATAGGGAGAAGGTTCACTGGCAAGGTAGCCCGTCTTGAGGTCTCGCCTATAGACCAAACTAACCTGTCTTGATCAGAGATTTTATTAAATCTTCATTAATCTCACAAACTACTTAATCCTGTAAATATTGCTGTACAAATACAGTACTGGATTGAAACTTAATAAATATTTTTAAATTAATTCTGTCAGTTGTTTGAACGATTAAATAAACGTGTTGGGTTAAAGGGGAAACCAACTTATTGATGATTGTAATTGTTATTGTGCATATTTAACATAGCTGGCCATAGCATTCCCCGTGGTGTAGGGGTTAAGACACTCGCCTGGCATTTCGAAGGATTTACTGGGCGTCAGTCCTTAACTGTAGCCTCTGTTTACCCATCAGTAAAATGGGTACTTGGTTGTTAAACGATTTGACGGGTCGTTTTTCCGAGGAATATTAGGATTAAGGACCTGCCAAAAATGCTGTGCATGCTAGTGGATAGTACAAGAATGTAATAACTCTTGTATATATAAATAAAAAGCAATAGCTTGTGGTGAGGAGACACGTTGCCAAAATGATATGTTAATGTTTGGAAAGGTTTTATTGGCCACAACACATGCAACCCAAAATTTTGACAACTAGGTCAAAACATTTTCATGCAGCATCAGAGTGAGACGTAACAAAATCACAACTAAATTTCATTCAGATATTTTGGAAATGTCACGTGGATTTAAAAAAAAAAAAAGTATCTGAACACTGGGACATATTCAATGCAGACCAGAGAAAATGTATTTTTTTTTTTTAATCTTGTATTTTATATAAATGATTTAGAAAATTTATATATATTCCACCAGAATATGGTAGAAACATTTTAGCTGTTGAAGGATAAAAATTTTTAGTAATATTTGTTGGAGGATTTATTTAAAAGAAAAATGTTTGTAGTCTATATAGTAGTTGACTAAACAAATATTCAATATGGTACCATTTATTTGTTTGAGCTTTCAGAAGTGAATTATGGGACAGGGTCCTTTAAAGGTTCAACTCTTCATATGGGAGAGATTTGGCCTCGACGCACCTCAGTGATAGACGTCCCAGTCCTCTGGACCGGACATTGAGGCTTTATCTTGTGAGGAAATAACTACACAAGCTTTAACAGTGACATTTTCATTTATTTGCTCCAAACAAGCCAAGAGCAAGATTTGGGTGGCCCTTGTTTCACATCTTTGGCATTACTTGGAGAATCAAAACAATATGACAACAGTCGAGATTCGGGTTTACTAAAGGAGAAACAGTGTTAATTAGTCACTGGCCTCCAGACACTGACAATGAAAAAAAAAAACTTTAGTACCTGCACCATTGTATAGATAGAAACAATGGAAATGTTAGGTACTCATAGAATATTGTACAAGCTAGTTCAAAAACATATTTAATTAAACACAAAAGTAGCTAAAATCAACCTGTTGCAGTTAATAAAATGTTAATTTTTTTATGGTTCAGTTCATATCTGGAATATATCTGGAGTGGATACTAAGAGTTCTTCTCAAACCTGGCCTCGGGCCAGGATTGCCTTCAGATAACTTTATCTAAAAGGCTGTTGTTTGGAGGAGGTCACTTTCAAACGACCCTTAGATTATGGGAAATATAGGTATGTACTAGAGAGATGCTAAGTGAATCCTCATTTTGAGATCGACAGCAAAAGGTGGTAGGTACTCTGCAATGCACAATAATTGGGGAATGTATACACAATGAAATCATAATAACATCATGTATCTATGATAAAATATGGCAATGGGCGAGATTGAACTTCAGTCTCGCGGGAGTCCAGAGCCACAAGTTCAGTCCCACCTTTTGCCATAATAATTTTTTGGCTATGTATCCGTGAATCCCTGAACTGTAATTTTCACCATGCTTGATGCCATGCCATGCCATGCCATGCTAAGTATGTTCTGGAGGTAACAATGAAGACCATGGGCAGGGAAGGGGCAGTCCAGTTCTGTCAGATTAGATTGGATTCCTTAGCTTAGAAGACTCAGTCAGTGAGGTAACCCAATTGGGAAATTGGAAGATTCAATGCAAGCAAACCCTTTCATTGGCTTCTCTAGAATGTCAATAGCACAATTTTGTCCATAGTAATATTCTCCAGAGCCTGGAGCCAGGCAATAACTCATTGCTTTCTTCATGCCATACTATCATCTTATCTTTGAGGATACTTGTGGTCACCTCCCAATGCCGAAGTCCATCTTTTGGCTAGGGTGCAATGCGGTGGACTGCATCCACCAACTAGAACATGAAAACTCACAACAAATAGATGCAGGCGTTACTTGTTCCTTTTATGGATCTACAGAGTGCCTTTGACTTGACACATGACACCAATAGTTGCCAAAGCCTAGGTTTGATAAGCCTTCCAAAATACCCCTGCAGATGGATCTCAGACTTCTTTTAGGATTGTACATTTCAGATAATAATATGGGGGAAGAAAGTCATCCTCTCAAGCAATCAGAAGTGTCCCATAAAGCTGTCTCCTCAGCACACTTCTATTTTGATTTTCTCAGATATGCCTCCCCTACTGGGGTGTCATCCCATTGATCTGTGCAGATAATGTGACCCGTATGTGTGACAGCTGTTGCTGTTGGAGATACCAAACCACCTGAAAATTGCTGCCAGTATTGTATTTTGCTTAGTTTTCAAGGCCTTGGAGCCTCAAGATAAACCATGCAAAAAGTCAAATGATATCTGTGTCCCCTTGCCACATTTATTACTCATTCTGTTTAATCCTTATTTGTCTGTCCTGTCAATTTTCTTGAGAATTTTATATGTTGTAATTGTATCTTTAACACTTGTCTTCAATGATATGAGGCTTAATTAATTTTTCTCATAACTCATCCATCTTAATTCTAGTACTAGTCTAGTGGCAGTTACTAGTCTAGTAGCTCTCATCCTGTAACTGCATTGGTGTTTGGGCTCCGTGTCACTGATATTTTCAATCACTCTTTGCAAATGGGCAAATGTGTATAAATTTTACCATAATCCTCTCTACCAAAAAGAGGATCTTTAGTAGAGTGGGTTGCCTACTTCCTACTTGCCAACAATTTATAACTTATTACTAAAACATTATCAGGACAAATTGGGGGACCTTTGACAAGCTGCTGGCTTCCTGTCCTCATCCCAGTCAATAGTGAGATAGTGGTCCTCAGATAAATTATGTTAATACAAGTCATAGGTAGCAGAGCATTTGTAAAAATTACATGCATCAGAATATATTCTTCCCCGCAACGTCTTGGTCTGTGTACAAGCAAACAAGCTAGGAGTAGTCAGATTTTAGAATTGACTGAATGACCATAGACAGCAAACCTTTCAATCACACTTCTATGTGAAATAATGTTTAGTCCTGAGGCCTAGTCCGAATTACCAAAACTATGGTTCATGTTTTTTTTTATTGATCTCATGCTTCCCAAACTTCAAGGTTCTTCGGCAGCAATCAACTGTGTCAGAGTACAGTAGCCAGCTAAATCTCTTCAAACTAGGTTGTAAATTGTGTCCCTTGTGAACCAGCGACTAGGTAAGCTTCTTGGCCATTTTTCCTAGGGAGTGGTTTTGTGAGTTACATATACTGTATCTCTGTGCAATACATCCCAGAGTGTCATTTTTAGATGCAGCTAGGTTTTCCTCAGTGTTTTTTGGCTTTTCTTGTTTCCCTGGTGTCCAGTTGTGTCCTCTGGCCCTGAAGATGTGCCACGGCCCTCTGGGTATCTTCCTTGGTTCCTCTGGAACGTGCTCTTCACCCTTCCTCCTCCCCTAAAATGCACAAAATTCATTAGTATTTGTGGATAGTTTTCAATATTCATGATTATATTGTATGGTTTGTGAACACTTTTCAGTTGGTTAGGCCATTGTTCTATTGTACAATAAATACTGTGTTTGCCGGTGTAAAAGATGCACCTCGCATAGGACGCACTCCTATTGTATAAGGATATTTTGTGGAAAAAACTATTTTAGTATGTTTCATCATACATTTATTGAAAGATATTTTAAAGTGGTTTTTGTTCCCCAACTCTTACCTCCTCTAAGATCAGTTGTATAATTGTTTATATTTTGGGCAAGAGAATTGCTATACAGGATGTGAAACTTGTATTTCTGGCTGTGATGTTTCATGTTGCAGCATCAGGCCACCAGGCGGCGCACTAATACAGCACTCAAGGCTTGTTGTCATTCATTCATTACAAATAGCTGACAGGCGGATGAAAGTTTAACATTCCTTTCAAATTACTAGGAGCATTTTTCATTT